TAAGATCTGTGCTACTTGGTGTGTGCTTGCAAACTGAAGGGACTCAATATTTAATGGGCCTTACGTAGCATTATGTGTAACATGGACACTTTTTTAATATTCAACAGGTCTCCATTTTGGACGTCCGTACGTATCTTCTATACCATACATGCAGTATCCAGGATACGTCATCCCTCACGCGCCTTTACACCCAGTTGAGTACAGACGAATGTCCAATCCGTACATGCCACCTCCGGCAGCTTACGATGTGAGGTTCTGCCACGATGAAGGCCGTGGGCGGCGGGAGACTGCTTGCTCAGAGGTCCAGACAGAGACCAGTGAAAGGCTAAACGAGCTGCTTGAAGGTCTAGGTAAACTTGAGGTGCGCGAGGCAGTCGGCTCTGGGAAGCAACTGGATTCTGGTGTGGTTTCGCCTGACTCCGACATCTGCTTTTGGGAAGACAGGCGAAAGTGTGTTGGGCAGGATGAGGGGCATGTACCCATGGTGACGGAGCTGTCGGATGCTCCTCCGCAACCACCCATCATACTACCCAGTGACTCCGTGGAAGGTGCCCGTGACATGCAGTCGAGACAAAGCGGTCTGAAGAATGTGGCGCAGCGGCAGGAGTGGTGCGTGACGGCTGCTGTCCTGCCCTTTGATGGCTCCTCTGTTCGTGAGGATGCCGTGCTGGCAGAAACCACGGAATCAGCACAAATCTGCCTCCTGGCAAAGACTGGACTTTCTGCTGGGCCAGGAGATTGTGAACAAAGACTCGGCATGTGCAACCAGACAGGTTGTGGGGCAAATGCCCAATGTGAGCGCATGGTGTTACAAAGTACAACTGAGGGCTGCAAGGACCCAGCTAAGCGGAGTGCTGATTCTATCTGGCCTTCGTCGGAATGCCTGCCGTCCCACCATACTACCAGCTGGCTTGACAAGGCAGCGGTCTTGCTGGGAAATGGTGAGACCAGCAAGGCGCCACCTCCAGCAGGTGCAGCTGATGTAGGTGCTGCTGGGGAGCCAGCCCTCGACTTTGGAGATCTACCTTACCGGATCCTTCGATTACCATTTGACAAGGTAACCCCAATTGGGCTGTCGCAGGAGGACAACCCATTATGGTGTATGGACCAGTTGACAACATTTATCCCTCCAGCTAGTTATTTGTCTTCGATTAATAATGCTTATTATAGCTACTACCCTCAAACTGCCCAGGAGCGGCAGAGTATCCTTAGTCCATCTTTGGATGAGCTCTCCTCACGGGATGAAGTGTTCTCCACTGATCTGGAAGATATGGATTTGATTCCAGGTCATGTGTACATGGCAGGAGGTGAGATGGCAGATGGCATATGTTCCACTGAGGATCCCCCAGGTGAGTTGGCACTTGGGAGCTCATCTGAGGAGGAGTGCTCTGTGTGCTCGAGGAACACTTGTGCCACCTGTGGCACTACCCTGTCCAAAACGAAATGGAGCAAACTGTGCTCTCCTGGACGCTGTTCTGAAAAAGGGGACACGGATGAAGAGATCGGGGATGTCTGTGGCAGTGAAAGGGACATTCCTGACACTCTGAAGGTTACCGTGAAGAAGTCGCATATGACTAAGCGCTCACAGCCTCATGGCCAACAGGCCTCTAGACAGAAATCTAAGAAGGGCTGTTGTGAAAGACCAGAGGACCCAGCTAAGAAGTACAAGGAGCAGGAATCAAGAAGCGCTCAATCTAAACCTCACTTGGGTAACATTGTATTTCTTATTGATTGAGACTGAACGTTTTGCTTTGAAATGCTTAGTAGTACCAACTGGTGGATTGGTGGTGGTTTTTATTTATTTATTTTTTAAAATGGCTATTATGAAAATGAGCAACAAGCCCCCATCTCCTTTGTTGTGAGGGTGGGAAATGGTTAATTCCTAGCTGTAAAATATATATATATATATATATATATAGAGATGGTTTCAAAGCCCTTGTGGAATGCATGGGAGTGGAGACAGGAAGTGAACTAGGAGTCCTTTGTGTGTGCAATATACCCTGGTTAAACTCCTTTGAATTGCAGAAGGACAGTGGAAAGAGTGCACTGTGGCATCTGACCAGGAGAGCTGGGAGAGCTGTAGCATTAAAGGACGACCCAAGACCTGCAAACGATATCATTCATCACATGGACAAGGTAGCTGAAGGGTGGGCTGTCTGTACTTATTGCTTTTGTAGTAGCCACACACCATCATCTGTCATCTTCCCTCCTACTAGAGAGATCCTCTCACAAAAGGCCTTCCTGCAAGAATTTTGGGCATCAAAGAACCCGAAGGAATGACCCTGATGAGGGGGATTTCCCTCTATTTCACAGGGGCAGAGGTACAGTAAAGCTTTCGTGTTTTTCCTGCAACTTTCATTGGCCTGATGTGCAGACTGCTGACCTAACGATGACATTGCTTCTAGGGTCCACCAAGAGAAGAGGCACCAGATCCTAACCAATCACTGCATTAAAAATGCTTGAGAGCACTTGACCGAAAATTAAGTAATGACACATTTTTTCTATAACACAAGTGGGTGAGTTGGCTATAGACCTGAACTTCCTCTGCTTGACAATGTCCTGCTGGATGCTGTGCATTCGGCTCATTAATCCCTGCTGCTGTCTTCACTGGACCTCGTTTTGATCCTCCTCTGGGGTTCTGCCATTGTGCATTGGTCTGGGAGGTGTAGGCCTTACTGCTGTTGGGGCTCCAGAACTTGCCAGGGTCAAGACTGGCTGTTCACTGAGGACTAGCATCTGGGCTGCCACTTCTTGGGCAGTGGAAGTCCAGGCAATGCCTGATGGTGAAGGTCTGACCTCTAGTTTGGTATTTCAGCTAACTGGGTCAGTCTTACTGTAGTGCAACTGTTTTGACACATTGCAATGTTTACATGGATTTCGGTGTCATTAAAATATGTGCATTGCTCTTAAACCGGTCTCCATTCCATATCATTTGTTTGTGTGGACTTGAACCATGATTGAGCTGTCATTTCCTTTTTAAAGGACCTTGGCTAATAGTGGTTACACCTCTATGTTCAGGTTCACTTTTTCCAGTGTGTTGGGATTTCTGTTCAGTCCAGTATTTCTCAACCCAGTTCTCATGGGTTGACACTTTTACTCCCTCCCACAATGCAACCAATCAGGAACACAGTAAGCCTGGTACAACCATAGTCCGTCCTGGTGTCTTCACCACACACTAATCAAATCCAAGTTTCTTTAAATATTAAACCGTTCTCCTATACTTGTCCATATATATTCCAGCTGCTATTTTGGACAAGGTTTGGTAGGCCCTGGAGTCAAGCGCAACCTGGCTTGGGTAGGCCTGTTCATTAGACTGCACATACACAATCATACTCCTCATAGATGCATATAGGCAGGACAGTTACCCTAATGGTCTGGATTTTGGCTTGTGAAAGGAAAGTGGAGGAACAGGCAGTTGGTGGGATTCCATCTCCCAGCCATGGTGGGGTAAGGTAACAGTGTGACACACTGGCTTCCAGAGGGGGATAGTTCAGACCAGAATTGTTTCAACCGACCCATTCCATATGGAGTCAGTCACAGAGTACTCCACCGGTTGGTTGAGAGTAAATCTTGGTCTGGATTTTTACTTTCTGGATCTGAACAATCCCCCTCTGCTTGGTTCTCCTTAGTAGATTGGCAGAAAATTATCAAATCCCCAAGCACTATTCAGTATACAAGGCATAATACATTTAATTTAGCCAGAAGCTAGTCACCGTTAAGAGCTTGGGAGTAACAACCGAGTATCATGGAGCGTTTGGTCTCGTAACTAGTAAGTGTCACTAAGTAGCATTAATAGATCTGCTCTACTGGCTGCCAGTGAATAAGACTGGTGTGGCCTGCTTCTTGTGCCTGGATCTGATTAGAATCCATAGATGTACTTTTGGGTTATCTTGAAATGCATTGTGTCAAGTCAAATGCATCAAGATATAGTCTTGTAATACATCTTCTAACCACTAGATGGCTGTCTCCTACATCACATTACAATACAGTGACAAAAAGGTACTTGAAAATGCTTTTATAGGTAGGCATAGTGTTGCGGTAAACGACAGGTAATCATTTATGTACTGTTAAAAAATTTTTACGTTAACGGGTATTTGACATGTAGCACATACATTCGTGGTGAAACAGCTTTCACGACTTCCGACTGCTTATAACTGAATCAACGTAGTATTCATGAAGACGTTTGATAGGTCCTAGCATTCTGGGGACTTGTCTTAGCCAGTTAAAGGTCATTTTATAATATTCTTAAGGTAAATTGGAAAATTCTGAAAGCGGATAGGTTGCAGGTAACACGACAAAGCCCCGCCTTTCTCAAGCAGTTAATTAAGCTCCGCTGTGAAGGCTTCGTTCCGTTTTTGTAACTTGCTTTCCTCTTTGCAAGTATGTGAATTATTTTGACAAAAGCTGTTTATCTATTGTGTTGGTTAATTAGTGAACTTTTATAGTGGCGTTTGGCTTTTTTTTTGTACTTATTTGGCATGTCCTACTGTTTTCACTTGGCGGGCTTTGTTTGGTTTTTCCCCTGGTTTCTCTCCCATTTATTGTGTAAATTATTGCAGTTTGACTATTATCGTGTTGACACGAATATAATACGGGTTTTTTCCCCTCAAAATATGTCTGAAAAAGTGTTGTCTTATATTCGCGGTCTAGACTAAAAGGAAACAGACGGCGCCAAATATGATATTTTGTAACGAGTGCTTTGACTTGCCTTGATATAAATTTGCCATAAGATAGCTTATGGGAGTCTGAAAGCGTGAGCTGGTAACGCTGCTGTGTTTAGCCAGTGTCCCTGAGTGTGGTGTTAATTGTTGGCTTCCCTGGCTGTGCCGCTCCTAGTATTAAACCGATAGTGACTTTATTCTATTACTATTGATAGTATTTTTATTAATATGGCTCAACCGGTTATTAAGCCTTTCTCCAGTTTGTAGTATTCATTATGTACCCCCCCCCCCCCCCCCCCAACCTTTTTTTTTTTTTTTTTTTTTTTTTTTTTTTTTTTTTTTTTTTTGTTTTTTTTTTAAATGTGTGCCGTTCAATACATTTATCGTGATAAGATTGCCTGTGGTCGCTGTTTAACTTGTATGTTCTCGTCGGGTAAAATATATATTTTTTTCTTTTATGAAGGTAAGATTCGGTATTCCAAAAACATCTTTTCTAAAAACAGTTGCCAAAAAGTGGGGGGTGGTCTTGTGTCTGGCCCAATACGGTATGTGTAGAGTCTAAGATTTGCTTGGCCTTACCTTTCTAGGTATGGCAACTGCCCGTCAGTCGCTAGCGTCAGGATCTCGCAGTCAGCATGCTCCCAATCGGCCCCCTGACCCACCTGAGGGGCCCCACCTGGCACAGGCCTCGTGTCCCACTCATCCGGAGAATCAGCCCCCCCCTCACTTGCGGCCTTTCTTCTATGTACAACCCTCCCAGTCCTACATGCCCTACCAGTGGCCTGTACCTCTACCCTACAACCCATACTGTGGATTACCCAGTTTCGGTGAGGAATGCCACTTCTCTTGATTGGCATAAGGTGTTACTTGATGATCCTTCTGCATGGTGGCCTTAAGCTCTTTTTGTGTTGATTAATTTGAAATCCTAGGTGTGTGGGACTGTATTCGTCCCCTGATGATTGCTGAGGACTGCTGCTTACCTGAACTTCTGAGTAGCCGGGTCCTTCTCAGCTCCTAGGTTGCCTGAGCCTCTTATGGAAATCCTCGTGCACTTTCTCCTATGTGGTTTGTGTTGCAGTGCTGTGTGGGCTTTTGATTAACATACAGTGGCTTGAATGGTCTCCTCAAGATTTTTTTTCTTTCGTGATCTTGTGAGCTCTGAAATGGAAGATGAGGGTATTAATATTCAGTACTATCAAATTGTGTGTCTGGTTTTCTAATTGAGTTCAGCTACTTAACTGTGGGCTGGCGAGAGGTGTTCAGGCTGACCCAGGCTCTCTGCGTTTCATTAAAGAATACCTTTAGTCCATTTGGACCATGTTTTGGCTTCCATGTTACAGTAAATAACTAAAGGTCACTTGTAATGCACTTTCCTATTCATAAGCACGTTGGGTGGCTGTGATTTGTCTTGAATGATTCAAAGCAGGATCGGTAGCGTTTACATCCATATATAGATGTCTGCACCCCAAACACAGGATTTTAAGACTTCTCTGATCCATAGTATGTGTGGAATGCTGTCTCCCTTAATAGGACTGCGGCCAAAAGTACTGGAGCACTTTGGACATGCTTTGTGATGGAATATGCAGCCTTTAAGGGATTAGCGATGGGCTACATTGTGTAGGTCTTTCAGTGAGACTTTTTAGCTGCTGATGCTTACAAGTTGCCAAAATGTTGGACTCTGGTATCTTCTCCCTTACCCAAGTATTCTCGGCCATGAAGGAGGCGAATGATGTTTCAGTTCAGATCAGCGTAGCCCATCTGCTGACTTCGGTTTGGCTTTTTTTTTTCCTGCTTCCCTTGCATCTGCGGGGCGTAACTCTAGGATATAAACACAAGTGTTGCTTTTGCTTGAGTGTCATTGCGTCTGTTGCTTAAAGACAAACTTGCCGGCTTCGAAGGAGTGCAAGCTTGCTTTTGAGTGTGAGCACCTTAATGCAGGGCTGTCCAACCCTGCTCCTGGAGCTGTACCTCCCCGCAGAGCTTGGGTGCAACCCTAATTTGACACACCTGATACAGATAAGCATTGGAACCAGTTTTGTTAAAGCTAAGTTTCACCTAAATATTGAGATGATACTGAAGGGCCTGATTATCTCTCTCAGGTGTTAAACTAGGGCTGTACCCAAGCTCTGCAGGGTGGTAGATCTTCAGGAGCAGGGTTGCGCAGTCCTGCCTTAGTCTATTAAATACCTTGTAGCACTTAATTCCTGCCTCTGGACCTGTTTGAGTCTGTAGTCCACAGTGAATAGGTTTTCTGTGGATTAGCCCCACCTTTTTCTCTGGCTGATGGTGTCTAGGTGTCCCCTACATTGTGCCCTTTGCTTCCTGGATAAATGGTTATGGAATATGAAGTGATGTTGGAAGCTATGCTGAGAATGAAGCAGATGTTGGTACCGTACCTGTCTCTTGCCCATGGTTAACTCCTGTTCCCCCATGCTACAGGTTATAATATGATTATGCCACCAAACCTGTATGGCTTTCCACCAAACCCATACATGGAGGCCCCTGGATACATCATGCCCCATGCCCAGCTGCACCTGGCTGATTACAGGCGGATGCTGAACCCGCAGGTTCCTCCAGCGGTGGCTTATCATGCACGCAGGTTCCGGTGTCAGCATGTCATGGTCCCGCGGGAGATGGTCAGCTCGGAGGTGCAGACGGAGCCTCTCCTCCAAGAAACGAGTAACTCCCAACTGTCTTGTAGCTCGGCATCCTGCTCTGCAGGAACCCACTCCATGGGATCTGATTCCGGCAAGGGAAGTGGATGCACGAATGCCTCCTCCTCTCAGGACTCAGAATCAAGCTCCCATCCAGGAAAAGCAGAAAGCCTAGATGTGGATGCGGACTTGATATCCACGCCGCCTCAAGCTTCTGCCACGCCCAAGGGAGCTTACATGTTCCAGTGGGATCAGGTGCAGATGGGTGCTGAAGGTTCCTCATTGGACTCCAAGACTGTCCCCTCATCTGAGAGTGTTGCTGAGTCTGTGCAAGATTCATCTGGATTGCTGGTGCAATGTGATGACTCCATTAGCTCTAGCAAGGGCGTCATCCCTCTATTCTCCTCCTCCGCCAATGACAATACCACCACTGGGCAAGGGGTGACATGTGACTCTGGAAAAACAGAACAGCAGTGTTTGCCCTCATACCCGGATATCCTGTTGGTTAGTGGATCCCCTACCAGTGGCACTGACTTGAGACTCAAGGCTGTTCACAATGGGGGATGCGAGACTTCAGCTGAGCAGATGGCAACCAATAAGGTCACTGAACTTGAGAAGGTAGACGGGGAAGTGGCTGATCATGCTAGCACCCTTAAGGAGGCCTGCTTCAAAATCGTCCGACTGCCCTTTGAGATGCACTACTTGGAGGAAGTGCAGGAGGTGGAGTCGTCGGTGTGGTCTGTAGAGCCACTGGTCCCCTCTGTGGAGTGGATGGTCCAGCATGAGTTCTCGGAAGCTGAGAAGGTGGAGAAGACTGAGGCACCTGAGGGGCTAAACCTCAACCAAACTCCAACATCTCCTCTGGAAAGCTGTCCAGCCACCCCGCTGTCTCCTTACCTTCCCTCTGCCAGCTGGCTAGCAGACTTCGGTAACGTGTACTATTACAGCAAGATGCCCCCGAGCATGCAAGCACACCTGAGCAACTTCAGCAGTTCCTCAGAGCCTCCAGCGGTGAGAGAGAAGCCCACCCGTGACCTCAGAGGTCACAGCACGGGTGGCAGGACCAAGAAGTGCATGCATGTCAGGGGGATGGAAGGAAAAGGCCACGTCAACCTCAAGAACCTCCTCGGCCAGTCGCTCGAAAATGTGTCCAGCACTGCCGACAAGGGAGAGAGGAATTGCCCTCGATGTCAGGCCAAAGCTGACGTCTCTCTAGGTGTGAACCTGAAAGCTCCCAGCAGGAGCCACAGAGTTACTCATTTGTCCACTGGTGACCCGAAGTCTCAGGCCCGCATATCCTGCAGATGTTGTGTGGGGAAGGTTCTCAGGAAGGGGCGCAGCCCTAATCTCTCCTCACAGAACAGAGAGGAGATGGAGAACAGTGCCCCCTCAGCAATGCTGCGGCAGCCCGGCAGTGAGGGCAAGCGCAGCGCTGGAACCGGAGGCCTTGCTCCTCTGAGAAGGCACTCCGAGAAATGCTCAGTAAAGTGTTCAAAGCTTCAGGAGAAGAATTGTGCCTGCAAGGAGTACAGTGCACCACCGGTCGATGAAGGAAACTGGTGGATGCACACTGATGGGGTGAGACACAATGAGGAGAACGTGGCTTTGATGAGCCTTGCCTCGGACAAGTGTGGAACTCCAGAGCAACGGTGTGCTGTGCGGAGACGGCAAGCAGGTACAGCCAGAGCTGCTCAGAATACCTGTGCCATCCAGGCTGAATTCTCATTCAGTGGTGGCTATTGTCAGCCTTCGCAAAACATGTCATCTATAGTTTAATTGTAGAGGAACTGAAATCTCAGAGCATCCGCAAAGTGGTCCATGTAATTGCTGAGCAGAGGTATAATTACATGTTTTGTGGCGACAACGGTGTGATTCAAATACAGATTCTTTTGTGGCAGATACCTCATGGAGAGGAGCAGCGGTGACGATGTCTGACAAAGAGAGTGAGATTGCAGCTAGACGAAGGACCCCAACTAAACAGAAAAAACAATGCACACATTCACAAGGTAGGATCATATGATACACACCCCTCCCCCCACCCCCAGCCTGCTAAGTGCTTCATAGTGGCTCATTGCCTGTTTTGCCCCTGAAAGCTAATTTTCATCCTCCCACAGAGAAACTGCACTTGAGCAAGACCACGGCATTAATGACGCACAAAAGTAAGTCTGCTGAGGATTACTCCAGCACCTTCACCAGGATCAACACCGGTACTTCGCTTCGTTGTCTACATGTCGAACGATAGTGAATCTGTGTTGACTGTAGCTTGATGTCTTTGCATTACTACTTGTTGCCAGGGTATTCCACGAATGTTGAATTACTTTTGAATCAAGGGTGTATACAGGGGCGGGGCCACAGGGCCACTGGCCCTAGCTGAAAGCTGATTGGCCCCCAGAGTGCCCCCTCATATTTCACACTGATTCAAAACTCTTATTAGCAAATGACAAGGTTGCCTCTGAATTATCCTCCCCCCACCTGAAATCCTTAAATCACCCTTCTTATGAATTATCTAATGGAGGTTGTGCTGATGATGGGTTTGGTTTTAAAAAAATTAAAAAAAAAACGCTGTCACTAATCGACTCCTTTTTGACTTCTCTCCTCAGGAAGCTACACATGATTGTCTTGAAGTTCTTGTAGACGCGCACACACACAAACGAAGACTTTCAGCACCATTTCTAAACCCACAACCACCTTTTTGTGAATAAACACTGCTTTGGTCAAGTTTCGCTGTGGTTGTCCTTTGTCTGTCAGGGTCTGTTGGAAGCAGTAGTGAGCTGGCCGGGAATATCCCAGGTTGGGATCATCCTCGCTGACCCAGTCGCAGCGAGTGAGCAGATGGTTCTGGGTTAATCTGAACTGGTCACTGCTGCGATGGTCCTGTTCTGGACCTTCATGTTACTGGAATAGCCTGAAGCGTGTGGGCATTGGGCTGTAGGTGACATCACATGGTACCTCCTCATTAACTCCTCTTCATTCTTCACCCTGGTAGGTCCTCCTGCTGGCATCAGTGCTGGGGATAAAATGGCCTCCAGTCACTAATCTAGGGAGTTAGCAGCCCCCTTGTTTTGGCTGCAATGGGGGTGTTAAGCCTTTGGATAGCTGGCCTGTGTGTGACCTTCTGTAACCAAGACTGGATACTGTGCAAAGTATGCAGTCTTGCCAGTGTGGGTTTTGTGATACTGTGTGATTCCTGCAGGGGGTGCTGTTTCCACACCAAATAGGGTTTCGGTCCCTGCGGTTCCTGGCTGTCAGATGGACCGTGCTCCTTCTAGCACTGGGTGTCCTTTGCCTCACTTAAGAGCGTGTTTAGTGACAGCCTGAGAATCTCTGATTCTGTTGACCAGCTGTTGTCTTTATTGACTGACCTTGAAATAAACTTTCAGTGGGGGTGGGGGTCTTGTACTTCATCCATGATTCTAAACTGCAGTCTTTTTATGCAAATAGGGGGAGGGGGGATTCTCTAACAAGACACATTGAAATGGAATTAGTAATGGGAAGAATTGCTGACTGTATGATTGCTTTTGGGAAAATTAAGGTGTCAGAGCATTTTAGCTGGATCAGAGTACTTTGACAGATCTTCCAATACCCTCCCATTCAATGCATTATGATTGGGGGGGGGGGGGGTTCTCTTGGTTGCGTGTTCTGGGGGTCCATAGTCTATGGCAGGGTTATTCAAATCACGGTCTTCGAGATCTGAGCACTGCTGGTTTTCCAGCCTTCCTTTACCTGTGAGTCAGGTGTGAAGCCTCTGACCAATCAGAATCAGTAATTATTAAACTAACTACCTGGGAGAATTGAAAACAAGGCCTGGATTTGGAATTGAGGTCCAGATATGAAGAGTCCTGCTCTATGGGCATGTAGCTGGCACCTGGAAAGCGCACTTCCTGTCATGTCCTCAGTGTCTCTGCCTGTCTGCCTCTCCCCTACAGTGCAGCTCTGGCACGGAGGCCTGCTGCTCGTACACTTTGGGAAAACAAGCGCCTCTAGCTTTGTTTTCCCCTCTTTTCTTCCTCTAAGATAATGGCGGCTTTTTTTCCTTCCTTTCCTTGAAGCTTGGCTCTCCAGGCCTGGCTGTTTGCGGGGGGGAGGCTCTAGCAGAATGACAATGTCCTTCACCGTAATTCCCCCTCCTAACTGCTGGGGATGATTCTGAAAGTAAAGGTAGGTATTGACAGGCTGCTGTGTCACTTGGTGCACATTGTTTGTGGCTCCCTCAGTAACACAGCCGTTTTGCTTCCAGGATGTGCCGCTTGGAAACACTTGCCTTCTCCTTTGAAGTTGCCAGAGTGCTGGCTGTGGTCAAGACGTTCCCTCGTCTCTCGCAGCCTGCGCATCATGTTCAGTCACCTCTCGATGACCGAAAGCCTATCAAATTAAATCCACTATTCATTCGCACCTCAGGTTGTTTATGTAATTTGATCTGTAATTTGCATCAGTTGGTGCCCAACCATGGGAGTTGTTCCCCTAGTTTGACCTGTTTATTCATGATGTCAGCTTTTGGCCTGTGTGCATCCACAAAGAATCTAGTCACTTTAGGCTTGGATTAGGGTGTGGTTAGCTGGTGTTTAGGGGCCCTATTGAGGATCTGTACCAGCCATGTATAAAACATCACCCTAAAGAATAGATGAAACATCAGACAGGCCATCTCCATTTGCTTTGGAGCAGGTGGCCTTCTCAGAGCTGATGTTTGTTTAGGTATGCACACCAGTGTTTTTCAGTTGCTGCCTTTCTCCAACCTGTCGTCCAATTTGGAATTTCTTTGTCCCATTTTATGTCTCTGATTACTGGTGACTGGATAAAAGCGTAAAACGGCCGCGTGTCCACATTTACAGAAACATCGACCGTCTCACCGAAAGGCCGCCGTCTGCCGTGTGTTAGTCTTATCTGGCAGTATGGTGATGAGAGCATATTGAAGTCGATTTAATTGGATTTGGGGCATAATTGACTGCATTAAAAGTACAATGCAGTAATCAGAGTGGGCTGACAGGCGCCGCTAAGACAAAGGCGTGGAAAATTTAAAATATGTTTACAAAACAAAATGGTTCTCGTTAACCGTGGAGTTGAATTTGGATCTGTGTACAAATGCTATGTAATACACAAAACAAATCATGGTAAATGTGCAAATCTAGTATGTCTCTGTCTGGGTCTATGCATAGCACTCACAACTGGCCTGTTCACCTGCTCAATGCACCATGGTAGTTTAATACCAGAATGTGCTATAACATCGTGTGTGTGTGTGTGTGTGTGTGTGTGTGTGTGTGTGTGTGTGTGTGTGTGGTTGGTTTCCCTATAATGAGCTAATGAATTATGCGGTTGGTTAATACACTGTGGGATGATTACATTGTGTATCATTAAAGAAACCAGAAATGCTCATTACCAAGGATCCAAACAGATTTTGATTGGGAACAGCAGCACTTTTTTTGCCCATATTAAATAAGCAATATTTAAAGTGAATATATAGTGAAACTTCCAGTACTGTTACTGATTTCTGTTATAAATGACCTGAGGTTATCTGTTTATTTAGTTTCTGTTAGTTGAGCTTTAACACAGTAAAGTTTCTATATGTTGTTTTGTTTTGTCTATATGTTGTTTCTATATGTTGTTTTTACGCTGCACACTATAACACATTCCTGCTGGGGCCTTCCAACCATCCTGAAGATGCTGGAAAACCTGTTGGGCTACAACCAAGATCTGGTGATAGCTGAAGGTTCTTGAAATTCGGGGAAAGGAAGGAGGCACTCCCCCCAGGGCCGGGCCGGGCTTGGCCGAGTGTGGGCCGGGCCCTGCTGATGGCTCTCACCCCATAGTGAGTCTTATGGCTTCCTCATGGTCTGAGGAAGCAGTCTGCCAGGCTGGAGTACCAGGTGCCTGGAGCAGACTGGCCTGTAGCAAGCTCCCTCTTAGATGCTAAACGCGGTTAGCGGGTTAATGACTGTTCCCACTCCATCCTCCCCAGCAAACATTTTATATTTGTTTACCGTAATTTACTGTTGCCATCAGCACCATCTTGGGATGCATAATGTGAAAGAGCAACAAGTAATCATTCCTGAGTAGACGAGGGTTACGAAAAAACGTAAGTATTTTGCATTAATGGCTCGTATTAAAGCGATACTGGTACCCGCTTCCACCTTTGTGAATGACTTGTAGACTCGTATTTGTTCTTAATGACCCAGGGGCTGATGGGTAGGAGGGGGTGGGATTTTGGGGGTGCTTATTTGGTGGCAGTAACACAGAGATCCAAGAACGTGGCCTAGAATAGGACCACAGATGAGGGGCAGCAGGGCCATCTGCCTCATTAATGACATCACTTAAGCTCCCTTAGCCTGCAGGATTTTAATTTGTTATATCACAGTGATTGGTTTGCAGGGGTCACACGGGGTAGATGTGCGTATTTGGTGAAGATTAATATAATTTATGATCCTGGCTGACTTCGGATACGTGTGCTTTTATTTTTTTCTCCTGGTGTTTGTGTGTGTGTGGGGGGGGGGGAGCTGACTCATCATTCTAAGCCCACGTCGCTTTGCACGATGCCCCGCGGTGCAGGGAGGATGGTGCAGTGGGCTCCTGTCCTTGGGATGCCAAATTAGCTTGGATGTGGAGAAGAGATGAGACAGCTACAGCGGTGATGCTGGGATCTTTTAAGGTTGGTGACGTAAGAGGGGCCAACCTTATCATTAGCCAGTTGTATGTTTTGAATTAGTGAGTGGCAGAGTAGGGGGCACTGCAGCAGCCAATCAGCATTCAGTTGGGGTCATTCCTTCTTCTGCTCCTGTCCCTGTATAGCTCCTTCATTTACCATGAGTGTGTGTGAGTTAAATCCCAAGCTAGCACTCCTGAGTGTCTGTCGTGAGATTTTAGGCCAGTTAAAGGGATTCCTGCAAGTTTACGTTTTCAGTTACTGGTTTTTAAACGGTTTTTCCAGCCTCTACCGCTAGCTGTGCTCTCTGCAAACCAAGGGGGGCACCAGGACTAAGATATAAAACTTTATTTATCCTGAAGGAAGTTGTGCCATGGCATATCTCTCATCATGCTTAAAAGTACTGAAATACAAGTACAAATACAAGAATTACATTATAATCCAAGACAATAGAAGTAGAATATAATACTAGTAAAATGCAAGCGGTGTAGAGAAAAAAAGAACAAGAACATTGAGTTTCGCTATATTCTACTCACTGTTTTGAGGTCCGCTCTTGTTTCTGAAATCAAATTTAGAAATCTGGCACGTGGAATCTCTTCCCTAAACGTAACCTTAAAATATGTGAAACTATCTTGTTGGGATCCATTGAATATGGTTATACTGTGAGTCTCTGTAGCTTTTTGGGGACCATTTCATTCTTCTCTGCAGTCATACTGGCGGGAACGTGCAGGATGGCTGGGGGCCCCTGAACATCTGCCCCATTTGCCTGAAAAACTGAAGCAATTGAAAGTGTGCCCCTAACCGATGGTCACTGACTTGACGCACTATAACTGGGCGGGGAATTTTGTTTTGGTTTTACAAGGAAAGCTACTACCCCTGATAAAGTCGCCACACGGCCCTTAAGGCAGCTCCGTCGGCTCTGATTCGCCGATTAAGGAGGGAGTAGCCAATCCAGAGTTGAGTAGTTTGAGAGGTAGGTCCATGAGTAACGGGACAGCAGTAAGCCGTCCTACCCTGGAGAACAACGCATGTCCCCTGAACCATAATGTTCACCACTTGCTTTGATTCAGTACATATTCTGCTG